TATATTATATACAATGATTGTTATATCTGGTGATGATTAGGGAAAAGGGCCAAAATCCTGGTATTGGGCGCCTGGACTTTGAGCTCGATTTTCGCAATTCCGGCCATATTTTTAAATAAAGAAGAGATGATTGGCGGACAGCCTCAGTGTTGGATCGAATTGGGAAAAAACGAGTGGAAGATCTATATCTCATTAGTGGCCGTTTCGTTATTCTTCGTGCCCGCAGTCATTATAGCTCTTTGCTATACAATCATAGTTCACACCATTTGGTCGAAGAGCAAAGCCATGACTTTCTCCTCCTCGTCCTCGACGGCCAACACTAAGTCCAAGTCGACGAAGAATAAGTCGACGTCTGATCCCAATCACAAACGGCAGACAAGTATTTATCATTTTTGTTTGTTGTCTGTATTTATTGTATATATACTGTACTTTGTTTTTGGCAAAACATTGAAAACTTAATTCTCTGTCTCTTTTGTCGTCTCATTGTTTTAATTATCAGATAATAGTAATGATAACAATAAATACGCCGACACTGACAATGACTTCAAGCGCGCCAGTAGTCGAGGGATTATACCGAAAGCCAAAATAAAAACCGTTAAAATGACATTTGTTATAGTATTTGGTAAGTAATTAATCCCTATATTATAGCCCTAACTGTAAGCGAAACACTTATTCAATAAGTCTTTTGTTATTTTAAGCAAAAAAGTTTATTCACAGAACAAAATACTCAAGTCTTCAAAAACTTAATTGAAAGTAGAGATTATAAAGTCAGCGAATCCTTAAAATTTTATAAATGCTTTGTTTTTAAGTTTTACTTTAATTTTATATAAATTTTAATCTTTTAAGACTTTTAGATCTCTTAAAAGTTTTATATTTCAAAGTATAAAATATTATATAATTATTTTCTGTTTGTTTATGGTTAAGATATGGCAGTTAATAAGCAAAAGGTTTACATTTAATGCTTAAATTAAAATTATATAAACGAGACATTTAGGCATTTAGACGATCGTTAGTTTGATTTCACTTTTTATAGCCTATTATTATTAATATAATGTCTTATTGTTACTAAATATAACATATTAACAATATTATATGTAAGAATGTAGGCGAATAAATGGGCAATTTGTGAGTTATCTGGCTAATTATCATAATGATTCCGTTGCCCTCATATAATGTATTCTTTGAGTTATAACTTATAGTAAATAATATTAGATATTCTTTGAGAATAATATTTCATTTCAATGAAAAATTCACTTCTTATGCAACAAATGTTGTGAAAATGCATTAAATTTTGATCAATTTAAATTTATTGCACAGTATTCATAATGTGTTGGAGTCCTTATTTTGTATGGGATTTACTACAAGTGTGGGGAGCGATACCCGTCTCTCAAACAACGATCGCAATCTCAACATTCATCCAAAGTCTAGCGCCACTCAATTCGGCCGCAAATCCATTCATATATTTCTTCTTCTCCACACATTTCTGCCGTAATGTTAGGTAAACTAGATTTTGGTTTTACATTATTTAATCGCATTTCATTCAATTGTGGCCAAAATACTTATGTTTTGGGACTTTAATTGTTGTGAATCCTTGTGTTTGTCAATACATTCTTCGAGAAGATATAAACTTCTTTCGACCGAATGTTGAATACGTTTATTGGAAGCGTCAGAAGGGGTGTCGCTGTCGCAGATGGCCTGATAGGCATCGGGTCTGAAGTTTGTCACCACATCTATCAGTTTGGATGAGTTGACAGTTTGTTTGCCTCCGCGACAGAAGACACCGATTCCTTCCACTGTATTGTGTCCGCCATTTATGGCAATTAATGGATCATAAACTGAGACAATAGATGGCCTCCACTTCTTAAGGCCCGCAAAGTCAACGATTCCTGACTTCACGCCATTGAAGGCGGCGTTAAACTGACGTAAGGACTCATTCATGAGATAAGTGGTCGGAAGTGGTATAAGAAACGGACTGTTGTCGTCATTGAGCTGATCCAACAGATCGGACACAATGTGCGGAACCGATCCATTCATTGTGTACTGAAGACATAGTGGTGTCGGATATTCAGCGGTTGTCTTAACGTTAGTCTCGCTATGAAGAGCATCGAAGAGAAGTGATCCAAGTCTTGAGCGATTGAGACACTCTTTTCTGACCATAAATTTCATGATTGTATGCAATGTTTGCGATTAACCGGCGATTCAATGAAAAGCCCACAAAACATGTGCTTTCAATGCAATCAAAACAAACATTACATGAATTTGTTTTGCTTTTCGTTTCATTCATACAAATCGTCTTTCAGTCAAAGTTTGCCCCAAAGTGTCGCTCAATAGGCGTTCAATGCGTTCATTGAATGCAACCCTCATTACAATCGAGTCGTTATTCATGTGCTTTGCGACCAATTGTTGTCATTTCTAAACGTTTTGCTCTCAAACTTGTGCTTCACTTCAATTCATAACTAAATTAATTGTAGTTTTATTTTATATTCAATTCAATTCATAATAATTTAGTGTTTTTAGTGAACAAAATAGTGAATACCATTAGAGATGAGTGACTCAAACGAAAGCCAATCAAAGCCCAAATCAATTGCCTTTTCATTCACTAAAAAAGCCAAACAAAACACAGTTTTGTTGAACAATAAACTGATATCCGATTCAAAGACAGGAGAGAGGGCTGAAGACACAGATTTTGTTACATCTATTGATGGCAATCAGATCCAGAGTACTGTCCAGAGGGAGAGCAGGAAAGACTTAGTGATCCCTCTAATTGTTAATAACAGATATAATGTGAAACCGAAGAAAGACTCGCAAAACAAGCCAACAGTGAGTGAATCGGTGGACACTATTGAGACAAATGAGACAATAAATGGCGACACTCTTGAAGATAAGGCCAGAAAAGAGCTCTTAAAAGAAGCGAATGAATTAATTGACGGCAAGAAGAAGACCGAAGTCTCGTCGACTCGTGTGATAGCAGTCATGGATTCGTTAATTCAGAACAGAGTTCCCGAAGGATTTGAATCAAACGATAACTTTGATGTCTCGTTGAGACCAATAGAGCCGACTAATGAAGACTACCAATCGGTTCCCGTCGAAGAGTTTGGTTTAGCAATGCTTAGAGGCATGGGTTGGAAGCCTGGGATGGGTGTCGGCGCTAACTCTAAGGAATACACACCGATTGAGCCAATGATTAGACCGAAAGGACTGGGTTTAGGCGCACAGATATCACTCCCAAAACACATTCAAAATAAATCCAAAGACTTGAAAGAAGAAGATCTTCAGCCAAAGAAAGGGTCGTATGTTTGCATTGAATTCGGCGAACATAAGGGTTCTTATGGTGTAATTGAAGACTTTGACGACGAGATGTCGAGAGTGACCATCAAATTGACTCTTAAGAGGGAATCGATTCGAATACCAATCGCTTTGATTCGTGTGGTCTCGAAGAATGAGTTCCAAACTGAAGGAAAAGTTATTAATAGAAAACAATACGAAGAATACAAAGAGAAAGAAGAAAAGGTTGAAAAACACAGAGAAAGTGGTCGAAAGGAATACAAGAGTGAATCAAAGAGGAGTGAAAGTAATAGTGAAACGAAATCTAAAAAACATTCCTCACATAAGACATGGCTATTGCCTAATCTTAAAGTTAAGATCATTGATAAGAAGTACAGAAATGGAAAGTATTATAAGGAGAAAGTGATTATCATTGATGTGTTGACTCCTGAGAGATGCAGCTGTAAAACAACTGACGGAAGAATTTTAGATGATATCGATTGTCATATGTTAGAGACAGTGGTTCCAAGAGATAGCCATTCAGTGGTTATGGTTTTGGACGGGAAGTACAAGAATGAGTTGGCAGTGATTGTGGATAGAAATCAAGATAGAAATGAAGCCAATGTTCAGCTTTTATCAGATAAACGCAAAATCATTGAATTAAGTTATGACGAGATCTGCGAATTTGTTCAATAAATAGCAAATACAATACAATTGTTATATACTTTACATTAATGTAATTTATTCTTTGTTTTTAAACTTAGTGTTCATTCATATACTGTATTCAAACTTTATTTTAATTGTGAAATTAATTTATAAATAAAAAAATTTTCAATTTGTAAATCATTTACATCTTATCAACTCTTATAAAACGATTGCCTTTCATGTCTTCTCACATGTGATGTAATTTCAATAATTCAAACAATTTATATAAAACATATATTTCTGAAAACATTGTAAGTGTAACGAGAATAAATGGTTTGAAATAAATGTCAATTATTTATTCATCTTCTGATCGTTTTCCTTAGATAGTCTTTGGTTTGCTTTGAAAGAGTTGTGTTGAGTTGTGTTTCAATTACTAATCAATTTCTAATGATTTTAAAAATTGTGAAACACTTTTGAAGTTATTGTTTAAAATAGATTTTTAAAGTTTTTAATTTTTGCGAAACTTTTTAATAATGCAATGAAAACTGCATTTAATTGTTGTTATCTTAACATTACGTTAATTCAAACGTTTATTTTAACTCAAACTATAGGTTATAGTTCAGTATTTGGGGACCACCGCAGAGCAAAATGAAATATACGGTATAGTGAGGTAGCCCTGTGTCTGAAGTTCACAGATCTGGTTTCAATGTCTGCCTGCATGTGGTGCCGAAGATATTGTGGATCAAATGAAAGCCATGTTTTGGGCAAAGGTTTGACAAAACTTTTCAATGCAAAAGTCAATGGAATCGTCGAATAGATAGCAAACCAACAGTACATGTGTGTCGAGCAGTGAAGCGAACATTACATCAATTCAATCATTATATGTTTGTTTTGATTAAAAACTTTTGACAAAATTCTAAACTTTTTTGTATTTATTTCTCAACGAATCGATGAATTGAAGGACAAATCCAAGCGATTAGTTGTTATCATCTGTTTATATATGATATCGTCATTTGATCCACACTTTGGACACCATTTTATGCACACTTCTGGTCATGTCTTCAGATATGTTTCGTTTCGGTAAACATTCAAACCATTCATTCATTTAATGATTTAATTGAAAACTTTCTTTTCGAAGACAATAAAGTGTTTGAAAACATAAATATTAATACATATAATGTAAAAGTGATGTCCAATGGTCTCACACAACGGTTCCATCAGTTGGACACCGAGTCGACGATTAAAGAACTGTTGTTTGCCATCAGGAGTATAGATCTGACCACTCTTTCTGGCGATGACACCGACGCAAATGTTCAGCGCCTTTGCTGTCGAGCTCTTCAGCCGTTGAGAAGCCATTTGATGGACTATTTAAAAGCCAATCACACGCTATCACCGGAGGAACCGCTGACAACAGCCGCTGTCTGTGTCTACCCGTCGCGAGCGGCCGACTGTGTGCAGGCGTTTGAGAGATTGGCCACCAATTCATCGGCCAGTAATGCGGTGTCCATCGCATGTGTGGCCACAGGATTTCCTTCGGGTCAGTACTCTCTGGAGACACGACTCGCGGAGATTGAGTTCGCCGTCAAGTGTGGCGCCCATGAGATCGATGTAGTGGTCGACCGCTCGCTCGCACTCAATGGCCTCTGGAATCAAATGAGTGACGAATTGATTCAAATGAAAGACTTGTGCGACAGAAGTGGCGCTCATCTCAAAGTGATTATCAGCGCCGGAGAGTTGGGTTCACTCGACAACGTCTACAAAGTATGTCATCAATTGGTTATGTATTTATGTCTTAACTCTATTGGTCTAATTTAATGACAATTAAAGGCGAGTATGACTGCTATGCTATCGGGCGCTCACTTTATCAAGACATCGACTGGAAAGGAGACACTGAACGCAACGCTTCCAATAGGTGTGGTTATGACCCGCGCTATCGGCGACTATTATCGCATGACTGGCCGTCGGGTGGGCTTCAAAGTGGCCGGTGGTCTGAAGACGGGTCAGGACGCCATCGATTGGATCGGTTTAGTGAAGAGTCAATTGGGAGACCAATGGCTGAACAGAGATCTGTTCCGAATCGGCGCCTCTTCTCTACTCAATGACATCGAAAACTGTTTGTTTCGTTTGGTTTATAAGAGGGAACCAAAACATTACGAGTTATCTCTTTAACTGTTAATCTCTTTATTGGATCTTTAATTACAATATTATTAAATTTATAATTTTAATTTTAATTAATAGTATAGGGCATACAATATGACCAAATAAGGTAACGTTTATATTATAGTGAGTAATGTTTTAAAATTACCAAGTTAAAACAAAAAATCACGTTCAGTTAACAAGGTCTGCAAGCTTATGGTTTAGTCGACCTCTTCAATGGTAGGTCCGGCTCCAGCGCCAGCACCGGCTGAAGCGCCGCCACCGGGAGGGCCAGGGGGTGCGCCACCGGCTCCGGGGAATCCTCCGGGAAAACCTGCGCCTCCGGGAGCGCCGCCAGCGCTCTGATAGAGTTTAGTGATGATTGGATTGCAGATGCCTTCCATCTCCTTCTGCTTGTGTTCGAACTCTTCCTTCTCTGCCAATTGGTTTGCGTCCAACCATTTGATCACATCATTCACTTTGTCGAGAATCTTCTTGCGGTCGTCCTCTGGAATCTTGTCCTTCACTTTCTCGTCCTCGACGGTGGACTTGATGTTGAAAGCGTACGATTCGAGTCCATTCTTGGCCTGAATTCTGTCCTTTTGTTTGTCGTCTTCGTCTTTGTAAACGTCGGCCTCTTTCACCATTCGCTCGATCTCTTCCTTAGAAAGCCTTCCCTTATCGTTAGTAATGGTAATCTTGTTCTCCTTTCCGGTACTCTTGTCGGCGGCCGAGACGTTGAGAATGCCGTTGGCGTCGATATCGAAGGTCACCTCAATCTGAGGCACACCTCTGGGCGCGGGAGGAATGCCTGTCAACTCGAATTTGCCCAAAAGGTTGTTGTCTTTGGTCATCGCTCTCTCGCCCTCATAGACCTGAATGAGGACTCCGGGCTGATTGTCTGAATACGTGGTGAATGTCTGTGTCTGTCGGGTGGGGATCGTTGTGTTGCGTTTGATAAGAGCGGTCATCACTCCGCCCGCCGTCTCGATGCCCAACGAGAGGGGCGTCACGTCCAACAGCAACAGGTCCTGAACGGCCTCACTCTTGTCGCCGTTGAGAATCGCCGCCTGAACTGCCGCTCCGTAAGCGACCGCTTCGTCAGGATTTATGCTTTTGTTCAACTCTTTGCCGTTGAAGAAGTCCTGCAACAGCTTCTGGACCTTCGGGATACGAGTGGATCCGCCCACCAGTACTATGTCGTGGACCTGCGCTTTGTCCAGCTTCGCGTCCCGAAGACTCTTCTCCACCGGATCTAAGGTCGAGCGGAACAGATCGGCGTTCAGCTCTTCGAATCGCGCTCTCGTTATCGTCGAGTAAAAGTCGATTCCCTCGAAGAGAGAGTCGATTTCAATGGACGCCTGAGTGGACGACGAGAGCGTTCTCTTCGCGCGTTCGCAGGAAGTCCTCAATCGACGCAACGCTCTCTTATTACCCGTCAAATCCTTCTTATGCTTGCGTTTGAATTCCTGCACGAAATGATTGACCATTCGGTTGTCGAAGTCCTCTCCACCCAAATGCGTGTCTCCGGCCGTCGACTTCACCTCAAAGATGCCGTCTTCGATGGTAAGGATCGACACATCGAAAGTACCGCCGCCTAAGTCGAAGATCAACACATTCCTCTCTCCCTGTCCTTTCTTGTCGAGACCGTAAGCGATGGCCGCAGCCGTCGGCTCATTGATGATCCGCAACACATTCAGACCACTTATAGTTCCCGCGTCTTTAGTCGCCTGTCTTTGGCTGTCGTTGAAATACGCGGGAACCGTCACCACAGCGTTGGTAATCGTTTGGCCCAAATATGCCTCCGCTATCTCCTTCATCTTCACCAAAACCATGGATGAGATCTCTTCGGGGAAGAACTGCTTCGACTCTCCCTTGTAGTCGACTCTGATCTTAGGTTTGCCGCCGTCTGAGACCACATCGAAGGGCCAGTGCTTCATATCTGACTGAACCGACGAGTCGTCAAACCGGCGGCCAATCAGACGCTTGGCGTCGAAGACAGTGTTCGACGGATTCATCGCCACCTGATTCTTAGCCGCGTCTCCAATGAGTCGCTCGGTGTCAGTGAAGGCCACATAGGAAGGTGTGGTGCGATTACCTTGGTCGTTCGCGATGATCTCCACCTTACCATGCTGGAACACTCCCACACACGAGTAAGTGGTTCCCAAATCTATACCAATCGCCGCTACTTTTGCCATCACTTATGATATTATTATTATACTAATCACAGCAATGATAGTAATGATAGTCACAGTAATACCAATTCAACACTAATTCAATTCAATTTATTTTAATATGACTTCAATTCAGTTATGCTTTGAATGTATGTCTCTTTGAATAAAATGTTTCAATGCTTTCAGCGATCACTCGATCTCTCCTTATATTCCTTTTCAATGCTTTCACACAAACTCTAGAACTTTCCAGAAATGCTTTAATCACTCATTCATACCATACGTCACACTATAGTCACACCGATTGACGTCCCCTTCAGTGCTAATGTATGAACACTAAGCGTACGGACAGGTCATACACGACATACACGTCGACCCCTTTATAGCGTACTTTATTATGCGAAGGAGTGATCGATGAATGATTCACAGCCAAGAAGTTTCTGGAAGTGTTGTCTATCACGTGATCTGCAGTGCAGTCAACGCAAGTGATGTCTGGTGTGGGAGACATGGGTTCGGACAGTGCATCGGATGGTGTGGTGCAGAAGGGCTGCCCTTTCTGTGCCATCGCTAACAAGCAGTCATCCAATGAAACCACACTTTTATATGAAGTCTCAATTTCACTATCCATTCATGAATATAATGAATGTTTACTTATTATAGGATAGCAATTATGTGATAATCCGCGACATCCGTCCGGCTGTGGATCACCACTACTTACTTATCACTAAAAAACACATTAAAAATGCCAAACAAATGAAGACTACGGAAGGCATTGAAATGAGTCCGCATTTTACACTTATATTGCATTTTAAATGACATTTAATTACAAAATGAATTGAATTTACAGTTAAGGAAATGAAGAGAATTGGTGTGCAGTTCATGTCCTCTAAAGGATTAACTAATGAAACAGAGTTAAGGCAAGTTTGCAGACAATAACTAATTGTAGTGATGCCATAACCATCTGATCTCAACCCTATGATGGCGTGCAGAATGGGTTTCCATTGGCCCCCATTCACCAGTATATCTCACCTTCATTTGCATCTAATGTATCCCATTTCGCAAATGTCGTGGATTTCGAGGCAAATCTTCAGACCGGGAACTCTTTGGTTCGTTGAGGTGAACAATAAGACAATACAGTAGAGTCTCATTCAATGTCTGATCGTTTCATTTGTTTAACAGATTAATGACACGATTGAATGGCTCTCTAAACCATAATTGTTTTGGTCATATAATTGATTGTTTTATTTAACATTTGGTGAATAAATCTATAGTTTTAATACATTTATACAATAAAATGAATATTAAGTGAAATGAATGCCATTAGAGTTAAAAGCGTGAAGAAGAGCGAGAAAGTGGTCGATATCCATAGTTCGGGCTCTTTTCGAGTCAAACTCATTGTCGGTAAGGATTTGTTGTATTTTCGCTTTAATGTCAAAGTCATCATCGATTGCGATGTTATTGAGAGAGCAATGGATGCGATAGTTATGGGACAACATATCCAACACATAGTTGTGTTTGAATTGAGCGGAAAGTGTCTTATTTTTGCGCATAAAACAGATTCTCAACAATCCGTCCCACTCTTTGAAGTTGATATCTGGCGGCGGATTAATGGGTTCCAAACGGATTACACTGGACTCCACTTTAGGCGGCGGCCGGAAGTTGTTTTTGGCCACTTTCATGAGTATATCCACTCTCGCCAACAGCTGTGTGTTCACCGATAGTCTGCAATACAACTTATCGCCCGGTTTTGCGACCAGTCTTTGGGCGAACTCTTTCTGAAACATAAGAACAGCGCACCGGAAGAATGGCCGATGGAGTAGCAGTTTGAACACAAACGGTGACGATATCTGAT